AAAGTGGCTACAGAATAAGTTATTTTGTAGCCAGCTATATATATATATATATATATATATATATATATATATATATATAGAGAGAGAGAGAGAGAGAGAGAGAGAGAGAGAGAGAGAGAGACACACACAGCATGCAGACATGCAGTAGCGTATATTTCTTGTTGCAAAGAGCTTTACTTTACTAGGTGGGCGTGGGCAATAATGATCACAGATCGAACTTTAGCTTGGGTTGGTGTCGTCCTCGTTACGAAACTTTCCGATCATGGAAATATCGCTTCCAAGATTTTCATGTGCGGTAACTAGCTGAAGCATCTATCTGTGCAAAGCCATGTGTTGCCGACACCGTTAGGTACGGTGGAACCCAAGCACCAACTCGTGCAAAAGCTCTTCCATCTATATTCCCATTTTTACCTTTCAAGGCTTCAACGAGCTTAGATACCGGATTGAAATTTAAGAACTCGTTATTACCTCCCTTGCCAAATGTAGATTATTGTTTAGTTGTCATCAGTCAAATTTCTCTACTACCAAATTTATAGAAAATATACATATTGGAATATACTATGCAATATATTTCATGGTGGATTTAGTGAAAACCAATTTAATGTTATAGGAGTAGATGTTTATGCATTTTTCTAACTTGGGTCAAATTTAAAGAAGTTTAATCTAGGACAAAACTACAACTACCTATATTTTGGAATGGATGAGCAGTAAGAGCGAGGATTTAATATGTTCATGTTCATGCCTTAATTATTCAATCCTCATAATGCAATTTGATTTGATGTGTCTCACTTTTTTTATGACCGTGCCTCAGTACATGTTTCATTAAGAGGAGGCAGAAACGGCCCAGTTCACATTACAAGTTCAGGTTAGTAATCGCATAATTACCAAACCGAACCCCAGCTTGATGTGTCTCACTTTTTCGAGATTCTGCCATTTGTATAGGGTCATATATTATGGTGGCCTCCGTGCTTGGTCATAAGCATATACAATTTACGATAACAACAGGATATGCATCTCTCTTGTAAAATGCTTTGGATTTGACCATCATAAGGCCCCTTTGAAATTGAAGAAATTTTTAAAAGAAAAATGAAAATCCCTATAGAAAGTATGACAATTGCTGCTTTCGAGACAATTACATCAAGATCCCTTTGAAATTCATATCAAATTAGTTAATACATAGGAGTTTTGGAGATATTAAAACAAGAGCAAGTACATCGATGATGTCTCATAAATGGTTCATGCATTGATTTATAATCCTGAAATAAATGACTTAAAAAAAGCTTCTACAATGGATTGTCTTTTAAGTCATCTTGTAATAAGTCTACAATGCATAGAAAAAAAAAGAATGTTGTGAGTAGCATAACAATGACAACTCGTATAATGATACAACAGAGTAGCATTGTAATCCTAAAAAGTTTGGCTCATAAAACCGTTGTTTTAGAAACAACTTCTTCTTTCTTTTGCATTCTCTCTTCCACATTGTAAAAGAATTATACATGACATTGCATGAGATGACCTACATACGAGGCTATTGATGAATTTTTTTTATAAGCTGTATGCCTAAGCTCTTGCTTACTTCTTTATATCACAAACTCTTGTGTTTTTCATGTGTCAAATCTTAACATCTTTACATTTTCATGCCTTATAAATTCCCTAGATAGGCTAGGCCCTATTTGGGAGGCTAGAGCTTTTTCTTAACCTTACGTTTTTATGTGAAATTGAAGATATTCTTGTGAAATTTCTGTTTCTGTATGGTTCCTGTAAAATTCATGTATAACGGATCCTTAGAAGTTCGACATCCCGATCTTGCACTTTTCTTACTCACGAATTTCGATCGGCTCTTACTATGACTAACCATGTGTGTCTAGCTAGCTCGGTTAGATCGTGATAATGATTTGACGCACAGTAAATCGTACTAGTTAAACATATAGCATGTGGTACGGTGGATGTACTAGTCAAACAATATCAAAGAATGCGACTTGACAAGAACAGTGGAAATAGTGCAAGGAAAAGTTGATACCTTGATCCAGTTTTTCCGCTGAACTTTTGACTCGAGAAAAACTCGAGTGGATGGACAATACAATTCCGAAGGGGAGCTATGAGGATCTCAACTGTTCAGACGAGCTTTACAAGGACGTCCCATCTCACTCTCACCACATGATCTTTCCCAAGGTACCAAGGTACCATCACTTCATCTCTCCATCATCGCACAAAGCACTCTGGGGCCGTGTTTAGATGGCCACTGAATCGGCGCCGCCGAATTCAGTCGGTACACTGTAGTTACTGTAGCGTTTTGTTTTTATTTGGTAATAATTGTCTAATCGTTGACTAATTAGGCTCAAAATGTTCGTCTCGCAAAGTACAACCAAACTGTGCAATTAGTTTTTGATTTCGTCAACATTTAGTACTCCATGCATGTACCGCAAGTTTGATGTGATGGAGAATCTTCTTTTTGCATAGTGCCAAATTCTGGATTTTGAGGGAACTAAACATGTCCTGGGTCGCAACAGTTTTTCAACAGAAGATGAGAGCGCGGTCCCAGGGGGCGACCCTACCAAACAAGCGTTTGCCCGCCGCCCGCCGCGCGCTGCCGCTGGCCGCTGGCCACTGGCCACTGTGCTCCAGCTCCCAGGCATCACCCCGCCGCTAGACGGCCAGAGCCAGACTCCTTATGCCTTCCTTCCACTTTCGCAGGGAGACGATACATGGGCTGATGCGCAATGCTTCTGGATTGAAAAAAATCCAAATTAGCTACCTCAACTTTTGCGAAAGTCCGTTTTTTCTCCTCAAACTCTAAAACTGGATAAAACACATCCATCGACTTTTAAAACCGTTCATCCTACCTCTCTAGCCGTGTTATAAGCGGTTTTGAAGGCGGTTTTATCTTTATCTTTTTTATTTATTTCGGCTGAATCTTTAAAAAATCATAATAAATTATAAAAAAATCATAAAATAGAAAATCTAATTTTGTTGGACTCCACATGAGTAAATTTACACAGTGAACATATAAAACGATATGCTTTAGTACAAAGTTTTTGCTATAGCTTTAGATCTATACTTTTCTGTAACTAATTTGAATAATTCATAGCTGCAGTTTCTATGGTCTAATTATGGTAAAATTTTTATGGTGGGCTAATTATTGTATGCTTAAATTGCAGTAAAAATTTCATACTCATTGGATTATGTATAACTTAGTTATAGATTTTATTTAGGTTTATGCTTATTAAATATAAATAAATCTATAACTAAGCTATACATGATCGAATGAGTATGAAATTTTTACTACAATTAAATATTACAATAATTAGCTCATCATAAAAATTCATCACAATTGGATCATAGAAACTACATCTATGAATTATTTCAATTAATTACATAAAAGCATAGGTCTAAAGCCAAAGCAAAAACTTTGTACTAAAGCATACCATATTATATGTTCACTATGTAGATCTACTCATGTGGAGTCAAACAAAATTGGATTTTCCATTTTATGATTTTTGTATGATTTTTCAAAAATTTAGCCAAAATAAATAAAAAAGAAAAAAACAAAACCGTCTCCAAAACTGCTTATAACATGGCCAGGGTGGTAAGATGAACGGTTTTAAAAGTTGAGGGAAGTGTTTTGCCCGGTTTTGGAATTCATGGAGAAAAAGCGGACTTTCGCGAAAGTTGATGGAGATAACTTGGACTTTTTCGTTCTGGATTCTATATGTACAGTTGTATACACGGGCCAGAACGGAAGCCTTCACTGTCATGGGCCCTGGGTGGACCCGCCCGCCCCGGCCCAGGTACCTACCGGTCCTGCTTTGCCCCTTTTTTTTATCTGTGCTAGTCCATTTCTCCTACGTACTAAATAATTCCCCCCCAAAAAAATCTCCGACTTAAGCGTTTATATGCTCCGTTTTAAAGCCAAATGATGATTTTTTGCTCTTATTTTTTAAAACTTTGTGACTTTACTTTTTTATTGTTTTTGAACTAAAGGAAGAGTATGTCTCTATTCCATAAAATCTAGTTAAGGGTGTTAAATTTTGAACGAACAGACAAGATTGTCCATGTTCCCCTGTTTTATTAGAGAATGTTGTTATTTTACCCATATTTCAAGATCAAAGTTTAGTATTATAAATCTAGTCAAATTTTACAAAATTTGGACGACATATATCGTCCTAAATTTTGGACAACATATATGCCAATTTTTTGTCGTGAACGCTGTCTTCGGGAGCCGTCCTCGGCACCCTCCGACGCAGCGACGTCTCGTGCCCTCGTCCATGGCCGCCTCCACCGCGCCCTAGGAGCTCCAGGAAGCGGGACTCCGAGCGTCGTCATGCATCCATTCCTGCCGCAAGATCATGGTCGTCCGCCCCACCGCCTGCACCCTCGACTGCGCTATCGACCCAGGACCTCAGCATCCAACTCCAACATCGGCTCTCCACGTCGTCGAGTCGGCTGCATCGCCTGCACCGATGCATGATGCCACGTAGTATCCGGCGAGCGGCGCGGCCGTCAAGGTGGCTCGGTAGAAAATTGATCGAACGAGTAATTTACAGAGGTAAGAAATTGCAGCTGTATCATAGTGCACAAGAGCTCTTCGCATTAGTTGCTTCGGAGCTATGGAAAAAAAGGAATCCACGGAGCGAGCACTCAAATTCCCGAATTACTCAAGCACATCAAACACGACGCTGAGTCGTGGGTGCAAGCCGGCACGAGGAACCTAGGTTGTCTTCTTCAGCGAGTAATAGAGCAGTCAAGTGTGAGTGTGGGTGGGCATATGCTTATTGAAAATCTATAAGACCCAACCTTTGTAATCAAAATTCTCCTCACTTAATATAAAAACGCGCAAATCTTTTGGGTGATGGAGAAAAAAAATAGTGCACAAGAGAGTACGTTTGGAAGCTCAATACCAGTAAATAAAGTTACAAAGCTGCCAAAAGGGCTTATCAGTATACAAAGTACAAACACGCGAAGTAAACTGCAAACACTCTCGAACGCTCTGTTTTCTCTGTTCACACCACAAACCGCTGCTGCTGGCGTTGCACGGCGACTTGCTGCTGCAGCTGCAGCTGCCGCTTATGGTCCTCTTGCTCCTGCAAGACTCTGCGGATGTACAAGGGGCGCCAGTGCGGGTCCACCGTCTTGTTCCGGTGCATCTCCACGAACCTAGCCTCCAGCCTCTCCCCGCCCTCCTTGAGGAGGTCATCCCCGATCTCGGAGGCGCGGCTGATGAAGAACTCGACGATGAGGCCTTTGAATTCTCCCCATTGCTTCAGCCGCAGCACCGACCCCAGGAATGTCGCGTACCGGGCCTCGTACGTGGCGGGGTCCGCCACCAGCACGCACACGTCGATCTGCCCCTCCCGCTCCCGGCACAGCCGCAGGAACCGCTGCTCGATGGGGTGGAACGCCGCCGGGAAGTTGGGCCGCCCCTGTCGCCCAGGTACGCGATCGCCACGCGGTCGTGCGCCAGCGCCGCCGCGTGCGGGTCCAGGAACGGCCCGATGATGCGGCACGATCCACGCTCCGGGTCCACCGGCACGCGCGCCATGCACCGGCCGCCGCTCGTGCCTCGTGTCACCGCGGTGTACTGGAGACGCAGCGGGCGCGGCACGCCGCCGCCTGGTAGCTAATGCGTGGCGGGTGGTCTCCCGCCAGGGACCTGTGCTGTAGCAGCGCCAGGACAAGGACCAGGAGCACCAAAGCTCATCGCCATGTGGAGTATTTTTTTTTTCTTTTTGAAAATTTACACAGTACAACGTAGACGTTCACAGCACGTATGCACACCCACTCCTATGATCATACGTACGTAAAGCCTATCCTTATGATCTCCTTCGAATGACTGAGCCGGCAGATCTTGAAATTTACGTTCACAGAAGGATCTCTGTTGCACAATGTATTTCAGAAGAAAAAATAAGATCATTGTTTACTGTTTGTTCTGCTACATAATATTCTGTCACAATTTTTTTCTGTGTCAGTTTATCGTCTTCCTCCGAGCATCCCCGATCTTGACGTGAGCACGCCAGCGTGCCACAACCATAGCAGTGCATGTTGGCCTTTGCGGCAAGTACGGCGCTGCACGGCCATGGAGCTGCGGTGCGCCGCGGCGAATCCGCCAAACTCCACAGTAGCACCGCACTCACCCAGTGTACGTGTACCGCCGTGGTCCTAGGAACTAGGAAGTCGAGCTCTGCTCGCCACAGACACAGATGCGTAGGGCATGCCTATCTTTTATGTATCGGTAATTCACTAATTTGGTATTCTTTCAATAATAACTTAAAGTACAATAACACATTAAAACTATGTTTCAAACATCAGCGGGCTGTTCGGCCGATGGTTTTTATGGCTGATAAGCCGGCTGATACTGTTTTGTTGTGAGAGAAAAACACTATACCATGCTTGATACCCGTGCTTCCTAAATCCTAAAGGGACATGACATAACACACAAACAGAGGTCCAGTCTCGGGATCACGAAGATGGAAAAACAAACTAATCTAGCCCCTGCCATGCATAGTTACACATTAACTTTAGAGAACAGAGGAAATGAGGATCACACACAGAAACAAATTTTAATTTGTCCAAACATGTGGATAGGTTGTCCCTTGTTTATCCCATGATAACTCAGCTCCTGGACGTAGCCGAACCGTGGCACTGGCTCCCAGTCGCCACTGTGCTACTGATGGAGCCATGTCCTCCAGTGGGGATAGACGGAGCATACTCCTGGCTGTCGCTGACATGCACCGTCTCGACCGTGCTCGTCGAGCTCTCATCGCAATCACTTAACGCCGTGCTGTACACAGAGTTACGTGCGCGCCAATCTTGAGGGGGCCACATGAATGTGGGTCTCTCAAGAGGAACCTCCGGTGGTGGCGCTAACTTGGTAATGACTTGCACTGCCTCCACCATACTTGGGCGATTGTACGGGTTCGGGTTGGTGCAGGCCAAGCCAAGGTGCAGGAGACGCTTAGCCTCCAGAAGGACGCCGCCATCCCGCAGCTGGTCGTCCTCTGCGTCTTCTGTGGTGAGCATGCAAGCGTCCACAGCCTCAAGCAACCTCTCCTCCCGGTGAAGGCGCCAGACCCAGTCAGTGATGTGGTCGTCGTCCGGTGGGACGTCGCCGTTCTTCTTGCCTGTAACAAGCTCCAGGATGAGAACTCCAAATGCGTAGGTATCGGTCTGCCGTGTGGACCTGAAGGTCAACGCGTACTCGGGCGCTATGTAACCCCACGTGCCGGCGATACCGGTGACGGAGCTCCGGTCTACGGCGACTGTGGAAGCTATACCGAAGTCACCGAGACGCGCGCTGAAGGTCGAGTCGACCATGATGTTGCTTGCTTTGATGTCACGGTGTAGCACCATTGGCTCATGCTCATGGTGAACATAGTGCAGACCGGTGGCTATGTCCTTAGCAATGCTGTAGCGGGTTTGCCATGTACCGATAGACGATGTTTCCTCTTGTTGATGTTGGCTCTGCCCGGCGGTGCCACCTTTCAGAAAAAGATGTTGATCCAAGCTACCGTTCATCATGTACTCGTAGATCAATATGGGCTCCCCTTTGTTGTAGGACCAACCTGAAATTTGCGACACCATATTGATTCATTGCAAAAAAAATGGTATTAACCATCTTACTATTACTGATTGAAGGCTTTTAACGAAGCCTCAACATTAATCCTCATGAAATGTGTTTAAAAGGATAAATCCTAGAAATTATTAATAATAAATAAAAAGATACGGCAATCAATTTGACACAACCCAATCATTTCTACTAATATTTGGTAAGCATATTAAATGCCACCTCATTGATTTGCTATATATTCTGAACATGCTGCAGCACTTCATATTTCTGCTGTGCATCGTATCAGGTTATACTTGGTGCTCTGAAGCTCCAGCTGCTACACTCCTACTGAAGGAAGCTTGCAAGCTGCAATGGCGGGGACTTGGCTCTCTTGTGCTTAGTGGATGCATAGGATAGGTAGAAATATATATGTTTCTTTGTTCTTGATTGTGTAAATGGATACGCAAAAGAAGTTTATATATGTAACATATCAATCTTGTGTATAGTTACAGTTTAATAAAATCAATTTTGAATGGACTTATTCACTTTTTTTGTAAGAATAGATGAGAAGAAATACAATAGTAAATAAAAAATAAATACATATGTATGAAATAAAGAACAAAGAAATACATATGTATATAAATAAGAAAAAAAGCAACGTTGGTAAACTTTTCCTAGGAAGATGTAACCGTAGGGGAAGAACCTTTCCACGTGGGATACAAATGCCATGTCATTGGGTTTCCCTAGGGCTCAAGAATCCTAGAGAAACATTATTTCCCTATGGTTTTTTGTCACAAACCACAGGGCACAATTGATTTCCCGTCGAAATGGTTCCTAGAAAGATTTCCCCACGAAAATTCCTAGGGAAACCATTTCCCTACCTTTTTAAGTCTTTCCCTAGGGTTTCGGCCCAAGGGAAATTGGTGGATTCCAGTAGTGATCATCATTTATTTTAACTTTTTTTTTCAAAAAAAAAACCAACATCTACCATTCTGAAAACAACATAAAGTATCTTCCTAAACCTACATGTAAGTTACCGACTTGTGCCATAATATAACATAATCTAAACTCTAGAGTAACTATCTACTTTGCACGTAAATTACCCACCGTGCTATTATAATAGACAACCTAAGTAAGCTTTTAAATTAATTAGCATGTAGATTTCCATTTCGACCACCACTAAAAATAATCTAAATATCCAACAAATCTACATACAAATTACCAACACCTACTATTATGAAAAATATTTACATAACCATAAACTAAACCCATATATTTCTAAATTACCTAGTTCTATTTACTATTGATGTATAAATAATAAACTAACCAAGAATAAACATATGTGCTGTCGATACATAAGCATTTGTAGAAATACACATGTAATTCTTCAATAAAAAATTTAGCATCTTGAGTAGTGGATTGGGTTAGTGTAGAACAAAGGTTTTGTGACATCCTTAAACTTTGAGATTCATTTAGACTAAACAATCACTATTTGGCTTAAATATTAATATCCTCTTGAGTTAGCACGATCAGCCCCTCCAAAAAATCCAGTCAAACTCTACCACAGATCCGAGCACCATGGAACATGCTTAAAGGATCATTTATACGATCGTATTAATAAAAACTGCAGTAAGGTACAATAAGCACAAGAATTTCAAGTTAAAATGAGGTTAAAAAGTTATAAAAAACTAATAAGATCAAAATTTTACAGTCAAAATCTATATTTCTGATGTCATGTGTAACAATCCACCCAAAAAACTCCTAAATGAAAAGGGTGGACTTTTTCAAAATTTACTTAAAATGCTAATGATTTACTCATGTAACCCAATTTAATTTAATTTAATCCATAAACTAACTATGGTTATTTCCAATAAATCTTGCATTACATGCCTAAAATTCCATGTACTTGGATGTATATTCTATTATTTTAAATTTTTTTTTATCTTTTTGTTTCAGTCGAATTCGAATTACATAAATCAAAATGAACTAATAATCCATTAGAAAAACATATATAGCAAACAAAGAGAAAGAAAAAACTACACAAACCTCAAACCAGACTACATTCGGGCCGCGCAAGTCGAACCTCGGCGGCCTCTTCTCTCCTCCCTGCTAGCCCTCGCGCGCGGCCTGTCCACAATGCCACTAGACCACGGCCCGTGAAGCTACCCTCTGCAGGCAGCAATATCGCCGCGTTCTATTCTATCCCTTGCTACCAGCCCGACCCCGCGCTGTCGGCGCGTCAGGGGTCAGCAGCGTGCATCCCGTGACCATATATATTTTTGTTATAAACTAGGTCAGCAGCGTCAGGGGTCAGGGGTCAGCAGCGTGCATCCCTGCCAAGTGCCAACCCCCCTTGGCTCTGTCCCATGAGCGGTTCGATGAAGTCGCGCTCCCAACACGCCATCGACACAACCGGCTCGGCAATTCGTCGAGCAGGTCTCGAGCACCGCGGGCTCGTCTCCCCAAAGAATGGTGAATTTGCATAATTACATAGTACTTCATTTTGCATATAAGAGTAGTAAAGAAAGAAGAGTCCGGTGCTCACCGATGAGTGGTACAATGTTCTTGTGACGAAGGCGGTTAATGATGCTGACTTCCGCCAGAAAATCGTCGTAGCGTCGATGCTCATCTTCCTGCACAAACTTCTTCACGGCGACCTCCACCGATTGTTGTCCCATCCTTGAAGCAGCAGCAGGAAGTGTGCACCTATAGACAGCCCCAAATCCGCCCTTCCCCAGCTTCATTGTGTCATGGAAGTTTTTCGTGGCCTTTCTGATCTCGGCATAGTCAACCTGGGTTGGCACCCCAGGGAGGTTCTGCATGGTCCGGATGAGGTTCTCCTGCTCCATCTTCCACCTCCTATATTTCGAGTTCAAGTATACAAGAATAGCAGCCATGATGGCAGCGGCACAAGCCGATCCAAGGACCGAGGACAATGCGATGGTCCATTGATTGCCTCTTGGGATATGAGGACGCATTGCGCAAAATGATGGCCGACGCCTGACGGCTGTTGAGTTCCATGTGTGCAGTTGTAGGAGTTGCCCCATCGAAGAGAAAAAGGCAAATGATGCTGATTTTTTAAACATCCATTGCCTATTGAGGATCTTGCTGGCTACAGCTGCTGCAGGTTTCGATGTTCCTTCACCTGCATCTGCGTACACCAACATGTGGTCCTTAGTATAGTCGTAATCAACCCACACGCTATACATGTTTGCCATGGAGGAATGGTCCGGTAGCGGCTCTCTGCAAATATGTACCCAGATGGCAGGTGCTATACTGTCAAGTGCATTGATTTGGGCATAGACGTGGCTGCCGGCAACGTTGCGAGATGCAGTGGCTGTCGAACAAGAACTATTCACATTCATGAGAGCATAACTTAAACGGCTATCGAGGCTTGCAGGTTTGATGACGAAGACAAGTACCATCGGGGTGTTCGGCTGGTAGATACTCATGGTGAAAACGATGCTGAAGGACATACCATGGTTTGCCAAAGGATCCACCGAATAGAGGGTGAAAAACATACCCTTATTGTCGCGGTACAAGTCTAACCGTGAACCAATAGCTTCTCTATAAGACCCAAGGCCTCCCCACGCGTTGCCGCCGTTGTCATCGCAGAGAGCCATGTCATTAAGATCCGAAGTAATCATGAACAGGTGGCCGGGAAGTTTGTCAAATGAATAGCTCAGGGTGAGGTTTCCTAGCTCATCTTGGTCGGTATTGGAGCATTTGCACGATTTCGGGAGGCAGCAACCGAGCAGCAAGCATACGAGAAACTGGATGGTGAGTAGACATGGCACACCTGATAATCGAGGCTTGTAAACTTGGATGGCATGCATGGTATGAACTGTGCTTCCGGGCGATCTCCTATGCTAGTTGCGAGCTCCTTGCTTGCTTACAAAGCTAGTTGGTCTGCTTAGCAGTGGTTGCTTTTTGCGGAGTTCTATTGGCCGAGTAGTCCCAAACGATAACGTTCATTTGTGGACACAATTTTTTTTTGGTGTCGTGTCAGTCGTCGAAGACTTACTGTAGGCGACTTGCCAGCGCCGGGTCTTGTACGTTTCTGTAGATACATCGAATCTTAGCTTTAATTTCATGATCGAGATGTGCAATGATAACTACGACTACGACCACCGCTGGCCACAACTTTTAATCTTTTTCTTTTAGCGAAAGTACTTTAGCACATATTTCATTTTGAAAAGGTAAAGATCAAGTAATAACAAAGTACAACCGAAGGGCTAATTGCAGGATGCAATTGCCACAGAGCCAGCGCCCCAAACTCGCTTACTGTCTCCAACTGGTGACCCATAAAGGCACCTAAATCCAAAATGAGTCTATGATAGTACTGTATCAGTCTCCAACAGAGTACCTATACAGGAAATTTGTTTTGGATGTCAGGAGAGACATAATCTAAATCTGAGTATCCTTTCTCGTGAAAACCCATTTACAGGAAGTGTTATATTTTTGAGGTCTTATTATTGGAGAAGACCAAAAATAGATATTAAACTATTTGCCTGTAGCGCTACCTAAATATGGAATAGCTCTTGTATTTTGGGTGCTGTTGTTGAACATAGTCAATGGAATACCACTATGCAACCTGCATGAAAATTAGCCTTGAGCATCTCTAAATGTTTTTTTTAAGATTTATCCTCTAAATCCTTATTTGAAGAGTCATTCGAGTAAATTGTTTTTTATATGCGCACTCTAAAGAGGCATCCTCGTTCTCTATGTTTAACTAGTGATAAGTTCAGAAACAAAAGATAACTATATTTAGAGATCCCATTAAAGAGACTATTGGATGGTATTTTTCTGTCATAGTTCTTTATTTCTATCTATATAAATTAAAAAGATACAATGAGTCCTAGAGTTTGCCTATCGAGCAGTGACTAGCCAACCCAAATACCTGAACCCTACGACAATCTGGATATTTCTTAATAGGGACCGGCTAGCATCTGGATGTTCGGACGGACGCGCGCAGACGCCGTCACATGTTGTTGCACCTGCCGTGTGTTGTTGTGCCATCTGCACCATGCGCCTGTTGCTTTTGCAGCGCCTGTTGCACCATACGCCTGCTACTTCTGCAGCGCCTGCCCGCGCGTTGCTATGCCCTGCGCCTGCTGTGCTGGGTCCGCGCCTGTTGTTGCTGCTGCTGTGCCTGCATGTGGAGACCGCCCGCGTTTGCGCTAGCTTCAGCCTGTTCGGTTGGCTGGTTCGTGAAGAAGTACTGCTGGCTGGTTTGTGTGAGAAAAAATACTGTTCCGGTTGGAAATTTACGATCGTTTACAACAAGCCACAACTAAACGAACATGCTGTTACGCTTGCTCATGAAACACTTGCAACGTGAAGCACCTGCTGCAACATATGTCTGAAAACAGATGAAGCAATTGAAACATACGCTTCACATGCAACACCAGATAAAACACTTGCAACATAGTATGAAACAGTTGAAGCAATTGAAAGATACGTGTATAGCTATTGCAATACATACAACATTAAGATAAAAACACATGTAACATCCAGATAAAAATACATGCAACATACACCTGAACCCTACGACAATCCAGATATTTCCTAATAGGGATCGGCTAGCGCCCGGGTGTTCGGACGGACTCGCGCAGACATCCTCACATGTTGTTGCACCTGCCGTGTGTTTTTTTGCCATCTGCACCATGCGCCTGCTACTTCTACAGCGCCTGCTGCACCATGCGCCTGCTACTTCTGCAGCGCCTACCCACGCGTTGCTATGCCCTGCGCCTGCTGCTACTAGGTCCGCGCCTGTTGTTGCTGCTGTTGCGCCTGCATGTGGGGACTGCCTACGTTTGCGCTAGCTTCCTACGCTTGCTCACGAAACACTTGCAACATGAAGCACCTGCTGCAACATATGCTGAAAATAGGTGAAGCAATTGAAACATACGCTTCATATGCAACACCAGATAAAACACTTGCAACATAGTATGAAACAGCTGAAGCAATTGAAAGATACGTGTATAGCCATTGCAATATATGCAACATTAAGATAAAAACGCATGCAACATCTAGATAAAAACACATGCAACATATACCTGAAACGCATGAAACATACAGAGCTTGACATTGATGCGGAGCTCGATGTCACGGAGTGACGCGGAGATCGCTTCTGTGGAGCTCATTGGTGGCACGACCACCCTTTCTTTCTCTGAGCAAATTGGCCTCTCGGTTCGGAATAGCTGGCTACGATGCCTAGAAACATTTGGACCAGCACTCAGTTGCCAACGGTCACCTGTCACGGGAGCAGCAAACGGCCCATGCAAATACGGGCCCATGCTCAAACTCCAAGCGCTGATCCTTCCCTTTCTGGTCACGGTGCATGCACACACGCCACATGCACCTCCACGCCGAGCTGAGTGACAGCACGAACTCCTATGGAAAGGATAGGTGCGGGCTCTACCTGAGTGCAACTGCGCAGCATGGGTCGGTCCGTCTAGAGGGACGAATGCCCTCGACCCAGCGTTGTCGTTCCTAATAATCAGACGCACGGCCTGGGGCGGAGTGCTGTCAACCGCGTTGAAGACCTTAGTTTCAAGTAATTACTGTTCCTAATAATCAAACGATAACGGTGTCCGTATAAACAATATTGGAGTACTACAAACACCGATTCAAGTAATTTGATTTGTTGACGTCACCTCGGCACACCTCGGCTGTGAGCCTACGCCATCTACCAAGCCTCGGCATCCAACTCCAACATTGGCTCTATGCGTCGTCGAGTCGGCGGCATCGCCTACATCGATGCGTAATGCCTTGTAGTATCCGGCGACTGTCATGGCGGCTCAGTGGAAACTTGATCGAACGAGCAATTTACAGAGGTAAGAAATTTGTTGGCAACCTGGTAGCTGATTGTAGAGAGGAATATAGAGAATTAGAAGAACAACAGTAGAAGCTCAAGGATTTGGGAGGAAGAAGAACAGGAAAGGGGAATACTAGAGAAGGTGATAACCTGATGATTCTAGTAAATTGTTCGATGTCCTCACCGTTGCTGCCCTGTGCTCTCTTGTATGTAGATGACCTCCGGCAATCCAACAGGCATTGCTCGACTAGGGCCATGCCCACGGCCCATATGAAGGCCCAACCATGGGCAGTTCTGACAAAATTGCAGTTGTATTGTACTGGGGGCCCTAGGTGCCAACCCGGGTGATAGGAAGCCTCCCGCCGACACCCCCTCCCGTAGAAAAATAATTTGCTACCCCGTGGGAGCTTTAGAAAATGGGCCAAATTCAACTGTTTGGGCCCTGTTCTCCCCACTACTAGGAATATCCACTTTTATGACAATCAGTTTTCATCACTAAAGGAGTCAAATTCGTCATAATTTCAGTTTTATGATGAATTTTGACGAAAAATAGTTCATCATAGAAGTCGCGTTATTCTTGCAATTCTATGACGATTCTAGAAAATCGTCATAGAATTAGATAGATCTATGACGAAAACTAATCGTCATAGAACTGCTTTAGCATGTGTGGCAGGGGACAGCCACGCTGGCGGTTGCTTCCGTTGGAGATACTTTCCACGTGTGCCTGCTATAACCGGTTGCATTAGAGATGGTTTGGGTACGTGTCACCTTGTTATTGGACAACGTGGCCATCTCTATTTCTTATACGTTTCAGGTTCTTATTGGACCACGTGTCGGCCCCCTATTGTTTCACATGTCTATTTTCTATTGGCACACGTGTCGTGTTGCGGTTGGGTCATGTGTCATTTCTTCATTGGATCATGTGTCGTATTTTTATTAGTCTATGTGGCTGTTTCGTATTTGACCACGTGTCACGGTGCTGTCCGTCCATGTTTCATTTTTTGATTTGGCCACTGGCTTGACGGTTTCCTTTCACGTGTTGGATTTTTATTAGCCCACATGCCGTGCCATGGCTATTTCACGTGTCATGCATTGGTTCGTCCACGTGTTGCATTTTTATTTGATCACGTGGCCTGCCCAGGTTCTACCACGTGCCCAACAATCAATTTATCATAAAAGTAATTCAAGATCATCACTGCTGCACAGATTGACTACATAATTATTCGACGATGTCTACATAATTATTCAGCATAACAATCAAATACAATAGATTACTGTTTACACATCAGCAACAACCCGCTGATAGTTTTACCACATCAAACTAGCATAAGGGTACACACATCAAACCACAAATATTCACTGCATCAAGTCAATAGAGTTGACGACTAAGAGTTACTAGAAGAAGAGCTGAAGTGCATGATATCCTCACGTAGCTTATAGTACTCCTCCTGTTGCTGTATCTTGAACTCCTCAAACTCCCTTTCAGTCTTTTCTGTCTTCCTCTTCAGTTCACCACTTGTTCGACGAGGTTAGCAGAACTTTCCTGTTCAGCAACAAGCTGTTCCCGAAGCATTCTCTCCGCCGATGTCTATGTTCTGGCGGAGCTTGTCGGGATACCAGTTTTCTTAAAAAAGGGTGTTGCCGCTGATCTAGGAGTGGGCCTAGCCATGGGAGAGGCAAAGGACCGTGGGAACAACATCAACACTTATCATTGGTTCGTGCCCATTAGCAACAAGTTCTGCTCGCATAGTTTCCATAGCTTCCTATGAAATTCAAGCAGTAAACATTAGGTTACAGATAGTG